AGTAGAGACGGGGTTTCACCACTGTTGACCAGGATGGTCTCGATCTCTTGACCTCGTGATCCACCCGCCTCAGCCTCCCAAAGTGCTGGGATTACAGGCTTGAGCCACCGCGCCCGGCTAGTTGTATTCATTTTTAAGTGTACAATTCAAAGGCATTAATTACACACATGTACGGTATTGTGCAACTCTCACCACTATCTGTTTTCAAAACTATTTCATCACACCCAAACAGAAACTCTGTAACCATTAAGCAATGACTCCTTCATCCCATCCCCCCACCCCTTTTGGTAACCTCCAATCGACTTTCTGTCTTTGTGAATTGACCTTTTCTAGATAGTTCACATAAGTGAAATTCTATAATATTTGTACTTTGGTGCCTGGCTTAGTTCACTTAGCATAATGTTTTCCAGGTTTATCCATGTTGTAGATGATATCAGAACTTGACTGTGGCTGAATGTTGTTTTACTATATATATCCCCATTTCATGTATATATTCATCTGTTGGACACTTGGGTTGTTTCTAGCTTTTGGCTACTGTGAAAGTTGCTGCAATCAACACTGTCATTCAGGGATCTATTTGAATCCCTGTTTCCAGTTATTTTGGGTAAATACGTAGTAGTGAAACTTTTGGGTCATGTGATAATTCATTGTTTAGCTTTCTGAGGAACCATCAAACTATTTTGCACAGTGGCTGCACCATTTTACATTCCCACCAACAAGTTACGAGGAGCCGGATGTAGTGGTGCGTGCCTATAGGCTTAGCTACTCTATCTGGAGGCTCAGGTGAAAGAATTGCTTGAGCCTAGGAGTTTTAGTCCAGCCTGGGAAACATAGCAAGACCCTGTCTCTAAAAATATTTTTCCTTTTTTTTTAGATGGAGTCTCACTCTGTCACCCAGCCTGGAGTGCAGTGGTGCAATCTTGGCTCACTGTAACCTCTGCCTCCTGGGTTCAAGCAATTCTCCAGCCTTAGCATCCCGAGTAGCACCCAGCGAGTGTTTCTTCTTCTTTTTTTTTTTTTTTTTGAGACAGAGTCTTGCTCTGTCACCAGGCTGGAGTACGGTGGCGCGATCTCCACTCACTGCAACCTCCGCCTCCCAGCTTCAAGAGATTGTCCTGCCTCAGCCTCCGGAGTAGCTGAGACTACAGACATGTGCCACCACGCCCACCTAAGTTTTGTATTTTTAGTAGAGACGGGGTTTCACCATGTTGGCCAGGATAGTCTTCTGCCCGCCTCGGCCTCCCAAAGTTCTGGGATTACAGACATAAGCCACTGTGCCCAGCTGAGTGTTTCTTTACCTACAGATTCTTGGGAGCTACTCGGGAGACTGAAGCAGGAGAATCGATTGAACCCGGCAGGTGGAGGTTGCAGTGAGCCGAGATGGTGCCACTGCACTCTAGCCTGGGCAACAGAGTGAGACTTCATCTCACAAAACTAATAAATAAAAATTAAATTTTTTAAATTGGCTTCCTGAAGTCCATTCAATCACCCCAAGTGAAATTCCTTGGTCCAGACAATGGACAACAGAGGCTCTCTGTGAATAACCTTCTGTCCACTTGTCTTTGTCCCACTGCCACCAAGTCAAGTTCAGGTCACCATCTTCTCTCAAGTGGATGTCTGCAACAGCCTCCCACTGTTCTGATTCTTCTCTTATATCCTTTCAATTCGTTCTCCATGCAACAGAGATGTCCTTTAAAAATCCAAATTAGCCGGGCATGGTGGCTGACGCCTGTAATTCCAGCACTTTGGGAGGCCGAGGCGGGCAGATCACCTGTGGTCGGGAGCTTATGATAAGTCTGACCAACATGGAGAAACCCTGTCTCTACTAAAAATACAAAATTAGCTGGGTGTGGTGGTGCATGCCTATAATCCCAGCTACTTGGGAGGCTAAGGCAGGAGATTCACTTGAACTAGGCAGAGGTTGCAGTGAGCCGAGATGACGCCATTGCACTCTAGCCTGGTTAACAAGAGCAAAACTCTGCCTCAAAAAAAAAAAAAAAACAAAAAAAAAAAAAAAAAATCCAAATTAACCAGGTGCTAATCTAGTAATTTTCAGTTTAAAAAAAAGAAAGAAAGAAAGAAAAAAGAAACAAATTAATCAGGTACGATGGCTCACTCCTGTAAACCCAACATTTTGAGAGGCTGAGGTGGGTGCATCACTTGAGTCCAGGAGTTCAAGACCAGCCTGGGCAACATGGCAAAAACCCATCTACAAAAAATACAAAAATTGGCTGAGCATGGTGTTGTGCGCCTGTAGTCCCAGCAACTCAGGAGACTGAGGTGGGAGGATAGTCTGAACCCAGGAGGTTGAGACTGAAGTAAGCCATGTTCCCACTACTGCACTCCAGCCTGGATGACAGAGCAAGACCCTGTCTCAAAAAAAAAAAAAAGTCCAAATTAGTTGGGCATGGTGGTAGACGCCCTGTAGTCCCAGCTCCTGAGGAGGCTGAGGCAGGAGGATACCTTGAGCCCAGGTCAAGGCTGCAGTGAGCTATTGCTGCAGATTGCGTCACTGCCCTCTAATTTGGGTGACAGAGTGAGACCTTGTCTGAAAAGAGAGACAGAGAAAGAAAAAGAAAGATTCACTTCAAAAAATAAAGAATGGGCCGGGCGCAGTGGCTCAAGCCTGTAATCCCAGCACTTTGGGAGGCCGAGGTGGGTGGATTGCCTGAGCTCAGGCGTTCAAGACCAGCCTGGGCAACATGGCAAAACCCCATCTTAAAAAAAAGAAAAAGAAAAAAAAAACAAAGAATGAATGAATATGTGTTGTTATTGAATAAATGGAGCCCTCCCCACTGCCCTAACTGCTGTCCTTCCTTTCTCAATGGGCCAGTAAGTGCCACACAGGTCTTCCAGTCTTACCACCTCCACTTCCTTCTCCTCGAAGCAGCCAGAACAAATTCTTTAAAATGCAGAGTGCAGTGGCTAATGCCTATAATCCTAGCACTTAAGGAGGCCAAGGCAGGCGGATTGTCTGAGCTCAGGAGTTCAAGACAGCCTGGGCAACATGGCAAAACCCCATCTCTACTAAAATACAAAAAAAAAAAAAAAATGAAAGTCAGATAAAACCACTCCTGTATTTAAAAGCTAGTTTAGGGATCACAGCATCAAAGACGAATGTAGAATCAGGGACCCCAAAAAAACAATTTTAATTCCTTTAAATCAGGAATTTCTCGGTCTTGGCTGATGAGGGCTGCCCTGTGCACAGTAGGATGGTAGGCAGCATCCCTGGCCTGCACCCACTAAGTGCCAGGGGCACCCCCCTCACCCACTGTGACAACCCAAATTGTCTCCTGATTATCATGGTTGAGAACCTGCTGCTTTAAGTGGAGTCCACACTCTCAGCTCATCCTCTCATCCTAGATCGCTCTGCATCCTGGGAGCACCACATTCCTCGCACATCTGTACTGTCTGCGGGCCCTAGAAACATTTTTGTTTGTCTGAGTGGCTTAAACAATAGAACTGTATTTTCTCACAGTTCTGTAGTCGAGAAGTCTGAGATCAAGGTATCAGCAGGATTGTTTTTCTTAGGCACCCCCTTCTCTACTTGGAGATGGCCATCTTCCCTCTACGTCTTCACGTGCTGTTTTCTCTGTGTGCA